TTTAAAATTATTTTTTGTTACATATAAAACAATTTACGATTTTTAAGAGTGCTTTATATTTATGATCAAAACAGTATAAATATTACAAGTGTAACTCAATTTTATGACAAATTTTACAATTAGATAGAATTTTAATCAACGACAAGCGAAATATCCACCTTTAAGTTTTCACCAAAAATAATTTTTGACACAAGGAAATAACGAGTTTGAGTAAAAAGCAACTATTTTGTCGTTCTAAACTCAACTAAGAATTTCATATTTTTATATGATTGAGAGCTTTCAAAACCTCGATGGAAGAAATTTCTGAAGATTTCTCTTTCGAAAAAACTTTTCTGTGACATCTTTAGAGAATCTTTAAAACCTGATTTCTCCCTGATGTCTGCAAAGAGACTTCTTCTTTTTCTTTTTACTGAAACTTTCGAGGAGTTTGTCCGTCACTATTGGATTCTCTCCTGCGATTCTCTCCCGCGAATTATTTCGCCGCGCAATTTTGATCGCGCTATTTGCATGCACGCGAGCGCTTTACGAGTTTCTGCTTCTGTCTGTTTAGCAACATCGTGACGATGCGCGATTGTATGTATACATGTACACATACAAACGAATCAATAGTCAATATTTAGCGTGGCTGAAATTATCACAGTAATACACGGGTCAGCGAGTTATCACAAATACAGAACGGCCCGTGGACACGTCATTCCCTGTCAGTCGGCGAGAATCATCGCGATCGCACGCATGTACACGCTTATCATTCTACTCGCCCAATGACACTGAAAATATTAATAAATAATGATACCGGATCAATAAAAGTGCGGCGTGATATTTCGGAGCACGGTATACAAGCGAAAACAAGTCAGGCTGGAATAGTATCGATGCTCATGAGAGAAGAAGAGATTTTGAGAGAAATGAAGTAAATTATACCAATTGAAGTCTACAACGTACGTATGAATTAACTAAGAGTGTGTTATTATGTGGTGGTGTTACCTTTAGTCAAAGTGCGAGAGAAAGTAGCGGTCATAGAAAAGACAAGTCGCTGATACGTTACAAGAATATGACAGAGTTTTTTGGTTAGGAACGATTGTAAGATCTTGTTCGTTTAAAATTTTAATAGGTATAGGGATTCCCCAAATATGCCTTGCGACTCATTTATTTTCAAATCTGTTCTTTCTAGTTAAATTTTTAATACTTCAGCAAAATCTTTCTGGTGTTCTTTCTGTGTAGCTCGTCAAAGGAAGACGAATTGCTAAACTAAATTCGTTTAATCCAAACTCAATCGAGTTTCTTTACTTCACTCGAAACGTAAACTCTTTTCGCGTAATTCATTGAAAATACGTCACTCTATTCACCGCGTCCGAAAAGAGTCATTTTACGGAACATTACACTGCTTTTTAAAGTGCGTGGCGCAACGTTTTTCCTACGAGCTTGAAGAGGTGAAAATTTTCGCGGGAAGTCATCCGAATTGTGATTTTTTATGTATGATTAATGTGATTTTTGCAATGTGAAATTATTTACCACAATGGTGGATTCGCCACAAAGTCGATACAAAAAGAGGGAGACTTGCGAACAATATATGATCGAAGTTTAAAAAAAGAAAAGAAAGAAGTGCGAAAATCGCAACAAAGTTCGTTGATGCAGCTGTTACTGCCAAGCCATCATCGATTTATTCTGTGCCAATCTATGGCCGATATTCATAATCGGTTCTTACTTTAAGATCATCTTAAGTAATATCTTAAAATACTAATGCGGCCCTCTGATTAGTTCATCGACATCTTAAGACTGTACTTAAGATGGTCTTGAATATAAGAATCGACTATGAATACTGGCCTGTGATTGGTTTATCTTAAGACTCTACTTAAGAGATGGATGTAAATATAAGATCTTAGATGTTCCAGTAATTGAGGAGCAGACTTTCAAAATGCGTTTTGTCCAAAATATTTTTAAAAAACGAGAAAGAAAGAAACTATGCACACAAGAAACTACGCACACTTTACAGAAAATAAAAATATGCCAATCAGTAGGATGTGAAATATTAAATAAAATTTCTTAACGATTGTTAAAACTGTTAAACAAATGCATTTTGTTTGTTTCTAGTTAAAAAACTACAATGCACTTTGAAATGTCAATGTTTTTTCGGCATATAAATTAAAATGAAAAAATATTTCATCTCAAAGTAGCTTATAATATAAGTCACTCAATACTGAACACTACGCCTTTTCTAACTAAAAAAATAAAATTTTGAACAAAACGTATTTTGAAAGTTTGCTCCTCAATTATGAAAATAAGTAAAAAATCGAAATATAATGAATTTATCCCATATTTTGTATAATTATGTAATTATATAAAATATGGAAGAAATTCATTTTTTAACTTACTTTCATAATTACCGGCATAAATACGCGACTTACAATATTCTGGAGTGAGTCATTAAGGAGTGGAGGTGTCTCAATTCTTAAACATATGTGTTAAACATATCTGTTTTCTGTTTCTGTACTAAACTACACTAGAACTCTCAATAAATATCAAACATACACCTATCTCACTTTAAGTTCCAAAAGTGTACACTAGTTCAGCCACAGAAAACAAACGTAAAAACACTCCGATGCAAAGATTGTACCGTTTCTTTATCAGGGATTCATTGGCTAATATTATTTCACTATCATAAGTAGAAAAGAATCAGAAGGACCAGTATTTGCTTACCTTCCTTTTCTTCAAGCCGCAGTTTTCTACAGTTTAATATAGGGAAGGCCCGCTGCAGTGTAGTATAGAGCTTCCTGGTACCGGCAAAGGTGCGACACGCAAAGCGGGAAATGACGGATTATTAAATTAGAGTTACTATGACGACCGATGGTCAAGGAATGGCTGACCGCTGACAGTCGACGTCCGACGTGCTGACGCATTAAGCGGTCAATCGGCGCAGCGGTTCCGGTCGCGATCGCGAAACGAAATGTGATGCGTGATGGTCATCGAGGTTCATTAAACACGATCTTATCCCGGGCGATCTGATCACCCTGCGCCGATTGGATTACGTACATATTACGTGCTGGAATACTAGATAAAAAATCTTCAGGACACAGCTCGATGCGCAAACCGGCTTCATTCGTCAGTCGATTAGTCAGTCGCGAACGTCAGTGCCAGTGTGGCTTGTTAAAAAACGTAATTACGAAGATATCGGGTTCTACACTTGCAAATAATTTCGTGCACGAAAAGAACGATTTTGCTGAGATATCTAAAAGTTTAGATACAAAGAAAATAATTTTGTTTGGAATTAATTTAAAATAATTATATAAGAGCTATATATTTAATAATTATATAGCTCAAATTAATTGCTAGAATATTCAAACTTTTTACGGAATTGTCATCAATGCTTAAGTGTTTTATATAATCATTTTGATAATTCAACAAAATTATTTTTAGATCTACATTTAACTAAATTTTTTAACATATCAGCAAATCCGTTCTTTCTGTGAGAGATAGAATTTATAAATAAATATCACTATCGGCGGAGTTAGTGAGGATATGTTGCGTTATTGAGCGTTTTTTTCTTGTAATGAGATTACTTTGCGTATTTACTATATTTATCTTTAAATGAAAGAAATTAATTTTATTTTCTTCCTTTTTAATTAGACGCTGTATGTAAAAGTCAATGATATCGAATACCTTCGCGAATAATGGAACATTGAAAAAAGTTTTAGTGTTAATTAATGTGAAATAAAATAATTTAAATAAAATTTAAATTAAATAATTGATAAATTATGTAACAGTTAATTTAACAAATGAATGTATCGACAAATCATTTTTAATCGCATAATATTAATTTAATATTTAAATATTTTTTCTTAGTTAAAATAAGAAACGTTTAAAAAAAAATTAAAAGAAGAGAAAATTTGAAATTGTACGACTAATTAAATTTATCGGTTGCCATTGGATTTTATAGACCTATGAACGCAAGGTACGCGTGAGATTTCGAACGAATGAAAATTTTATCGTTTGTTCAACGTACATATTCACTAAGTGCATATTTAAGTGACATTACTAGATAAACGAAGATAGATGAGTGCTGTATGACTTTCCAGTTGTAAAGGCGCTTATAGAGTCACTCGCTTTTCACGATTCATAAAAGATTAATGTTTGACGTATTAACACATCGCAAATTTTATGCTCGTACCGTTTGTACATTTTGAGTTGCTGTCTTTGGTAAATCCCATTTGACCAAAATTATTAAGAAAGCTGAGCAAAACTCGGATAAAATTAATGATAAAGGAAGAACGAAACTGTATTATCTTCATCTGCAATTTTCTCATTACAGATGTTTCTCAAATGATTACGAATAGCTGTACGAAAACTATAATGTTAAAATTTATATTTTTCATCGTTAAATCATTATTTATCTTTTTTTATATATACACAGAAAGAACCTTTTGCTGAAGTATCTAAAATTTTAGTTAAAAAATTTAGCTGATCTGAAAATAATTTGTTGGGCCATCAAAATTATGGAGACGCTCAAACTGTTTGTTAAAATGTTAAAACTTTTTACAGCATTATTCATTATGTTTGAGAAATCCTACATAAAGTCAGCAAAATTATTTTCAGATTTTTATCTATCTTAATTTTTATAGAGATACTTTTTTTATATAAGAGACTTTATCAAAAACATTTTTTCTGTGTAGAATTAAGATCTCGTATATAAGTTCTGATACAAGATATATTCTTCATCAATATATTATATCTCTCAATAACATTACTTATTTGTTGCGTTGCGTAATATGGCGAGGTATTTTTAGTTATCTTTAGTTTTTCGAAGAACTCGTCAGACTGCGGATTTATCGTCGAAACTCGTTGTTGACAAATCGAAATCGTGTAGAATTTATTATCGGCAAGTCGGGATTGCGTGCTTCGGGATTCGTCGATGCGCGAATTTCGAGACACGCGCTTCAGGTGCTCCTGTTTGCGAGAATTACCGCGAAACTCGATTTCTTCCACATGTCAATCCGTCTTACTTGCAGACGGAATTTTCACGGTAAAATCTGCACGCGTTCCACGTCGATTGAAAAACGTCAGGAATTGCTGGGCGATGTTTTATCTGGACGGAAGAGACGGCACCGCCGCCAAGTACGACTCGTCGTCACCCAACGGCGAGGAGAATTTCGGCTGGTGGTTGAACGATCGGGAGATTGTATTGTCTAAATCGCATCATGTCGGAGGTCATCGATCGCTCGGATCGTCCATGTCGATTCTTTCTTGCATGGACTCGGATGATTCGGATAGCTGCAGCTTCGCGCGAGATGTGTCGCTGCAAGAACAGGAAAGCGAAATCAGTGAGAACATCGAACTAATCTCGTTCACTCAGAATGATCTCGATATTGATCTGATCGAGAGGGATGCTAGGGAAACGGTGAGTGTGAGATTATATTGATTAATATACACACGAAAACAACAATTTTGCTGAAGAATCGAAAATTTTGTTGAGGGGACATATATCTGAAAATGATATTGTTGGATGATCAAAATAATAATTGTATTGGAATCTAAAAAATGATAAGCAATGCTGCAAAAAATTTTGATATTTTAACAATCGATTTGAATTTTTAAAATTATTTTGATAGTCTAACAAAATTTCAAATCTTTCAGCAAAATCATTCTTTTCAAGTACAAGAATGTTCTGAGACTTAAGTTTTCAAATTGCAGTCTTTTAAGAAATTCTTTTGATGAATTTAAAATCAGTTTTGATTTAGGAAATTTACGAGAAGTTACACACGCAATCTATTTAATAATTTTAATTTAAAAACTTTAATTGCCATGTATATAACTGAAACACACTTATATAAATCCAAGGCGTCCTTATAATTATCAATTAAAATACATACACATTTTCTACTTACTGCATTTGTATTAGGTGTTGGAATTAATTCGTAGCGTTTTACAAGAAAGAATGTTATTTATTTCACATGAGCATTAAAAAATACATTAATGAAAGTACTTCCCATCACTTGTAAAACGCTACGAATTAATTCCAACACCTAATACAAGAACCGAGAATACTTTGCATTAATTGTATATAGTACATTGTGAATTCTGCAAAAAATTCTAAATCTTTTTTATTTGAAAAGTATATTTTACTGGAAATGTTTATTAAGTTTATTTAATTTAACGTATTTTGTAGCTGCAGCAAATTATATTATAAATAATATTAATTATATTTAATATGAAAAAAGACAGGCGACAATAAATAAAATAATGAATATAGTATTAAATAAATAATAAATATATTGAATAAATATGTTTATTTACATTGATATACGCGACGCTGGAACGATATTTATTATTTTGACGTGTGTATTTTTATGAACACTATAGCCAAATATCTGTAAATTTTGAAAAACATTAATTATTTTTAATAATTTTATATAGTTTAATATCACATAACCAATTTTTATTTATTTGTTGAATTAGGTATAAAATAATATAATATGGCGTTAAGAGACCGATTATAAAAATTTGTGCAACAGTCAAAGTATTAATATCTGCAATTTGTATGGGCAATTGAACTTTAAATGATCCTAATATTATAATTGTACGAGGATAAGCTTTCTACTTTTTCTCGTTGTGCAGATTTTGTTTCGTATATAATCTCGTGAAACAATGTAATTTCATAAATATTTGAATTTAATAAATAAAATTGAATTTAATAAATAAAATTTGAATTTAATAAAATTTAACTTTATAAGAAGCAACAAGCGCGAGAACGTTTTTAAAGTAATTGCTTAGGTTGGTTGAAATGTTACTTGTGCGAGGACATACCGCTGACGCTATTCGCGTACTTACAAAATTGATCTATCAATGTTGTTAAATTAATAAACGCCGAATGTAGCGTACTCTTTAATTTTGCACTCGTCGAGTTTCTCGTTCATGTTTCCTTTCGACGGAAATTTAGTTTATTTACAGCGCGCTCACAATCTCCGTACGCGAACATGGTTGCATTTTACGTGCGGTACATTTCTAGAACTTCTACCTAACGAAACGTGGATTTTTATCTCCATTTGCGCATTTTTTCTCCTTGTTCTGCTTCTCCTCTTTGCCCGCCGACGTATTATACGAATTGTATCCAATCCGATTATCAAGCCGCAAGAGACTGCTCAGTTAATTAGATAACTGAGCAAATAAATGTAAAGAAGCCGATCCGCACGTGATCGATATCACTTGCACACGCAAGAATACATGTCTCTTATATAAGCACTCGTCATTTAATCGCAATTGTTTTACTGCACATTAATTTATAAGTTTATATTAATTTTTGTAATTCTTAGTACAGACTTATATCGTTATCTTTATTGACACAGCTAAAAAAGTGGATACAACTCAAAAAAAATGTAACCTTTGAGTAATTATTATAAGTAAGTTATGTAAAGATTACTCTATCAAAAGCAAACTAAATTTACTTGCACAGTCCGTTCGTCAAATAATACTTGTGTCATTCTTAAATTATTTTCAAAGGTCTTCTACAGAGAACATTTAGAATTAAGATGGTTTTGATTGAAGTTTAAAAAAAAAATTTTAGTTTGAATTTAGTCATTATATATATAGCTAATCAAATATAAATCTGTTGATTAATTAAATTAATTTGTCTTTATTTCTTTTAATGAAGAATGTATGTATTTAAATCAAACATATTTGATTGAAATACATACATTCTCTAATGAAAAAAATAAAGACAAATTAAATTAATTTAGTCAAATGATAAATTTTTTTTCTCAGTGTAGAACTTAATCTTTCACGATTTCGCCAAATATTAAAAACATACGTATTTTAAGTTCCTTTCACTTTTAAGTTCTAAATATACCTATATTAAAGTTCAATTATACAACAGAGTTTATGTATATAAGTCTATGCTCTTTAATAACTCGAGTTTTTTTTCAATTTTTCATTTGCATTTATCGGACTCGAAAATTGCTCGATATGACGTTACGAAGACTTAACAACATAATTCGTCGATCCCATCGAGACCTGAATGATAGACATGCGATTAATAAATAATTCCTATCGACATGCAGAGCAGCCCACTCGCGATTGCAATCAACAGCGAGTGCAACGTCAAGAAAGAATGCATCACTCCCATTTGCTACACCCCGGAGAGATTGATCAGATCTCAGGAATACCGGATACTCACACCATCCCCTCGCTGCTTTACCTTCTCCCAGGCGAGATTCACGGCAGAGAACGAGAGCAGAGAATGGAAGTCCCGCCGTTGCCGAAAACAGTTGAGCCTCATCGATTCCAAGCAAATCGGTACGCAATCTAAGGTCTTCCTCTCCGTTGTCTCCATCCTTCCCTTTTCGTTCGATCCGAAGTCCGAGGAAGGAAACGCCGCTTCCCTCGAACCGGCTCCGAGCAAAGCCACCTCATGGAACTCGTCGGCCACGGCGGCACCTGACCTAATAAAGTTTCGCGGTTTACCAATGCGCGGAATCGAGTTGCTTGACGTATCAGATTTACTTCATTTCCTTCGTCCCTGGGATCGTGGCTGGGTGCTACCACCATAAAGATGCCGAGTGGCGTGAGACTGCGAAACTGCCACGAGCATTGTTGCGGGCACACCAACAGGCGAAGTTCGATCCGGGTTCGATTGAATCTGTGTCGGAGAGGCTAAAGAAAGTTAATGAAAGCAGCTCTGAACTTTGAACGATCATCCCCAACTCGAGCTCAATCGGCATTCTCTCCATTAAATGCGTGACTGTTGTAAAATTATACGGATATAAATTCTCGATACCTATAATCACGATGAAATAACGCTATTATTTTATCCGTGTTTTAATTGAGTAACTTAAGAGCTTATCAACAATTTTTTATAATTAACTCGCCATCAATTTTATTAAGATTCCATAAGAAAAGAAGAGATCATACACTCATAATGCTTTATCTAATTAATAAGCATCTCTCATATAGAATTTTTTTAAATTAAAAACTGATTTTCTAATTCTTGTCTACTCCTTTTTTATGTTAATATACTATTCGTCAAAATTATTCCTTAAAACGAGAAAAGAACATAATATTCTTGGCAATAACTTAAAAATTGTGCCTAGAAACGCGTAAATTTTAATCAGCTTCCTTGTGCTGTTTTTTTTTAATAGCCTGACGAGACTTCTAAAAACTTACAAAAATCTATTTTTTTATTTCCTTTTCAAAATTGTCTGATCAGAACTTGAAAAATACGAGAGAGAGATTAGTAGATTACATACAAAATCACGAACGCAGGTACAACGCAGCTGAAAACACTTCTGAACTTACCAAGCACGAATGTGAGGACATGCGCGATTTCCTCGCCCATTTCCGAACGCCGACAATGGGCCACCGATGATTTTAACGCATCGATGAAATCGAACAATGATTCTTCGACCGACGTAGACTGCGGTGTGCGAAGTATGAAGACCGGTGACAGCAGCAGATCGAGCTACGACAGACTGAACTCCACCTGGGACGACTGCAAGGGTTCGGCCACCAGGCCGCCCTCCCTGGAGGACACTTCCGGTATACACAGTTACGATTGGAGCTTGGAGACCCAGAGCGACGTGCAAAACACGCCGATATGCCTCTGCGACGAGCTGGCGATTGCGTCGAAAGAGCACACCGCGAATTTCGCAAATGTACGTTCTTTCGCGTTCCTTACAGGAATCCAGTTTCATCGTGACCGATTTAACATGGAAAATTACTTATTTTGAGCATAGAAAGCACTCGATAACTGTGAAATTTAGTAACAGGAAATTTAGCGCTAGACAGCAGTGCTTTTAATACTCAAAATAAATAATTAATCACTTCCAGTATTAAATTTCTGTAAGGGATAACGAAAGAGATCCTACGTAAAGATAATTATTTAATCAAACTGTGCGATTTATCTATAGACTGAAATATAGAATGAATTATTTTATAGGATCGAGGTACCGCTATCAATGAAGTGGTATCTATCCTCGAAGGTCTTCGGAGTGATCCCAGGAAAGCAACTGTTCTTTTGGAGGAGGAGGATCGATTTTGCAGTAGCACGTCCTCTCACGACCAATTAACCAGACTGGCTCTGACCATCGAGACAGACGTGGAAGCGCCGGCGGTTCCTGACGATCCGAATAATTGGATACGCCATCTCCGCGATAGAATAGAACGGTTGCAACTCGCCAATAAAGAGATCCACGGGGACATACGCGGTTTACGTACAAAGTTTCAGGTAGATGTCTCACCTTAAATAGTTATATATTATCAAATTCTCAAGGAAATTAATTACAAGAATATTACTGCGAAAAAATACAAAAACTGTACAGATAGTTTACAGGAATTCTGTCTCAGAATTCATGACTCAAAATATAATCAAGAAAGTTCTCGAAAAATTAAGTAAAAAAGTTATTTGTAAATTTTTATTTTAAACAGTACTTTTTGAGATAATTAGGGTTTAAATATGACATATAGCCAATTATGGATTATGTTTAGACGATCACTTGAATGATTAAGACTGAAGTGCGCACTGAAATGAGAACTTTTTTTATAATATTTAAAATCGCAAATTCTGGGTCATCCGATATATCATATTGATTGTCTTTATTATTTAGCATTAACTATATTTACATTAAATGATTGACAAACTTTTCAATTAATGCGAAATAAAATTTTCGTCAATAAACATTTTTAGAGGATATATGTTGCAACTTCTCAATTTTCGATATTAAACATTGTAATTAAATAACGGAAATCTGTTAAAACGTATTCAACGTATGAAAGGAAAAGACTCATTTGCATCTTAACATGTCATTTCCGTTAAAACTGTTACTATATAATATTCATGCATCTTACAAATTTTACAGTGCGACGAAAAGAAGGCGATCAATTTGTCAAGTGATACAACGAGATTATTAGAAGACGTTCACGACTTGAGATATTTCGATGACCTGGTGAAGCTCTTAGAAGGGGAACTTGAGACAATCTCCAGAAGAAATTGGCCATTTATTCTGGGACACAGCAAGCCTCATGAAGAGATGAATCTAATCATTTGATTATGATCTCAAAGATCGTCGTGGATCTTAAAGTTCATGATTATGATCTCAAAGATAGTTGCGAATGATCGGCGTGCAGGATAAAAGGATTTTCTTTAGGAAGAGGATGTCTCCTGAGTTCGATGTTCATAAAGGAAAAGTACCTCTTCTCTCTTGGCTCAATGACTTAATATTTTCAGAAATTACTAATTCGGAATTATTAAAACGATACGGAGTATGAGATACTTTTTGAAGATTACCACATCGCGTGAGTAATCTCCAAAAATAATCGCAATTATATAGTTAGCACAAAAAATTGGACTATAAATTTTGCGATAAATATGGACTATAAATTTTTGGACTTAAAAGTTTTAAATCTTAAAGTGATCGAAATGATCTCATTTTTTTTATAAGAAAATCGACTATAATATTTTATCGAAATGAATCTCATACAAATTATTATTAAGACAAAACTTGCAGCTTGTGATATGTTCCGAATGGATCTTATTTCTTATATTTGCTTTTATAAAATTTTCAATAAACGAAATCTTTTTTTAAAAAACACTTAAAAAATGCGTTCACATATCAATGTCCAGTGAAATAGAAAATAGATGTATATATTTATTATTACTAAACGATTTATTATCTACAGGTCGTACACATTTGAATCCGTATACATAGCACCAAGTAAAAAAATTCCTACAACACATCGTTGCTACTCGTCGTACTATTTTATCGCTATCTCGCCGCGTTTTAGCGGCATTTTTAATGCCATTTTTAGTACCCGTCCATAATTACCACATCGCGTTAAATATCCGTACTTTTATAAGCAAAGTCTATACTTAGTGATGTCTATTTAGTATTCCGTTAATACTGTCAGCCTTGGTTTCGATTTTTTCTACGTCTAGTCACGAAATTAGGTAACGTCCGTGCGCTGCATGTGCCTGACGTGCTGTCGAGAGGAATCGTGGTAAGCGATCCCCGCGCGCAACATTTCCCCGTGTCGGAACACATCGTGGGATGTAGAGAAGGACGGCAAAGTTGGCAACGACGGCAACAGGCAGCTCAGCATACTGGGACCGCCATCCGAGGAGTAGATTCCGTTAGTCGGAGGCACCATTGATGTGCTGCACGTAGCTGGGGTGGCTCCCGGCAACGTATGTCCATTTTGATCGCCGGAACCCAATAGGCTCGAACTTGTACTTATCAGGTTCCCTATGAATACCGAAAAAAATCTGTTTTGTTGATGTTGAGATAATGTGATCTCGAGACTACGTATCACTCATTTACTACAACGATATAATTAAAAAAAAATTTTCCAGAAAATAAGTTTAAATATTTTTTTATGTGAATCATTAAAATTTTATAATATTAATTTTGAAGTACTTTTGATATAATAACTGATTGCAACAAAAATGAGCACATTATTTATAAATAATAAGCATATATGAAATTATTAAAATTTTTAATTAATTATAAAATTAAGCTCTTGTGTTCTAATGAAAAAGGATGATAAAAGGCAGAGAATTCCAAACTGTTGTAGAATGTTCATCGATATTATTACGTTAATATTGATTTTTAAAAAAGACGAATATTTTACGAATAATAATTTGTAATTAATTAATTAGTATCCCGAGAGTAAAAAATCACGATTGCATGCCATCGATTCCTAACAATGAAAATTCATTCCGTAAAAATTAAGTCGAAACAAAAGTTAGCATTTCATTTGTATGTCTCTACATGCTTTTAGAACAAATTTGGCAATTATATTATTCGAGAATGCAAAGTTTCAATTTTAAGTATGTTTTTTGAATTGCGATACGATGATTTTTAATGAAGTCATAAATAATCAAAGATAAAATGCTCCTTTTATTTAATCCGCGATAATTCTGTAACAAGAAATTTAAAAAATATTAATTATTTAAAAAAAAAACATTTTATAGGGAAAACTTTAAGCTTTTAGTTAGAAAATCGAAAATTTTCAATTTTTGGAAGATATGTGACAGACTCACAAAGTGAAAAAAAAATTTCTCATTTTTTCCAACTCGTAGTTTTCTATAGCAAGTATTCTGTAAGAATTAGTAAACTCACAGAAAATCAATAGTATTCGACCTTTCGAAAGTAGATATTTTAAGCTTTACAATCATTTTTTTTAATTTAAACTTCATTAATTTTTAACAAAATTACAGCTGTTTGAATTTTGAAATTCGTAGTGTTACGAATTTTTGTTCCAACTGAATAAAGGTAAACAATATCACGTTTTTAAATAAACATGAAACACTTAACATTACAAGGATTAATCGCGATGGTATAATAAATCCCACCGCGAATCCGGGCGCAATCGCGTTCTCGCAAAACATTGATAATTATCAGTGCTTATGATCGCGCAGTACAGAATTTATACTCACATAAAGAGGGACTTGTTGTAATTCACATGAATATGTTCGCGGTGTAACCGCTTTAGTGAAAACGATAATGTATTCGGTGCATCCGTTAATCCTCCAACAATATCGCGCGAACATCGTATAATGCACGTGAAGCGTAACATTAAAATTTTAATGCCATTGTATAACATTTCTCCAATGGCTTACAACCAATGAGTTCATTAGCAGTAATTATTCTTCAAGCACTTCATACGGAGAGGAAATTCTTATTTAGATAATTCTATTCATTCTCTCTCTCTCTCTCTCTCTCTCTCTCTCTCTCTCTCTCTCTCTCTCTCTCTCTCTCTCTCTCTCTCTCTCTCTCTCTCTCTCTCCCTCCCCTCCCCCCTTCTCTCTCTTTCTTACTCAGGAAATATTTTTTTCTCTATAATTGCATTCGAGTTCAGAAATTTACTCGAATTAAATGACATGCTTATATGTATGTATATAACAAGCGTTTATAAGCGTTCAAAAATAAAATACTTTTAGTAAGTGAAAATTGATCGGGAAATATTCAACACAAATAAGCGGAGAAGGATATATTCAATCAAAGCAGATGGTGCTTAATATTTTTACTTGATTTTCAAATCAAAACAAACTGTGCGCCAATTAATTTCTTTAAAAAGCTTTAGTTTACAGTTGAGGACTGTTTTTAAAATCGACTCGATGCACACTTTGTTTGAACTAAAAATTATAAGATTCATGCAAAAATATTATACTAGTTCACAAATTTTGTATAACTTTTAGTACAAGGAAACAAGTTTTTAAAAACATACTTTAGAACACTGAGTTTGAATTTGTCGCTAGAAAAATTTCAGCACATCAAATTTATAAGAAATAGCATATTAATTTTTAAGATAGCGTGTCTTTTTTTTCTTTTTTTTTTTAATGTAATATTTCTTTCCGAATAATTTGAGTGCGACAAATGATATACAAGGCGAATATTTCCACCAGGATTTGATGTGTAATAACTGAGAAACATTAGAAGTATTGAAACAAAAATATATTAAGCAATTACTGTTGAATTTTAAACATTATACGTGAAACAAAAAACCATTTAAAAAAATTAATAATTTCAATAAAATTACATATTGAAAAAAATGCCTTTTGGAATGGAAAAATTCGATGACAAACTCAAAATCTTGTAAACTAGTGTTATTAGGCATCAACATTCGGTTTAAACAAATATAGTTTTCTTCGTTTATTTGTGATTATTTATTTTTGAAATCGGCTAACTTGCAAGTAACTTGCAGTTCACCTGGAAGACTGACGCTAGAGGCGGAACTGACGGACGAGGTAAGGGGTGTCACCATGGAAAAATCCGAGGTCTCAGAGGATCTCGTGGCGAGGTGCGAGTCCAGCCTGGCAGTGGGACGAACGCACGCCAAGGATGACAAGCCGAAATCGCTGGCTCTGTCCGCCGCCGCGACCGCCGCTGCCGCTGCCGCACGTCGATGCCTCGCGTGTATCCCAGACTTGTTACTGTTGCCCAGACCGAAGTGCAGAAGCTCCAAGTGTCTTCTGAGATTTCTCGATTGACGCAGAATCGCGCCGCACAGCGGACACGACACCGGCTGATCGGACAGACTACGTGCTTTCGACAATCCGTCCCCTAGAATGAATTCGAAACTAGACAGACTTGAAACTTATCTGATAGGAATATCTCATATTAGACATATCTCTAGCATATGCATATAATTCAGTATAATATGACACAAAAATAGATGAAATAATCGAAGGACTTGTTGCAACAGATTAATTCAAATTTTTTAAAAATGGAGTAAATCAGTCAATTAATTCTAAAATTAAAGTGATGAAAAAGTATATTGTGGAGCTAATCTACATTACTCCGTTTTTATAAAATGGATTAGATCAGACTGTTCATTGTTACAGTAAACTCTTCAACTCAGGTAGCTCATAAATAACGTCAAAATCGTGTTTTGTGGAAAATAACACAACACACAATCACGTATTTTTTATTTGCGCTTTATTGAAAAAGAAAAATTGGATAGTACATTGTTATATCCGTTATTTTATTTCTTTCTCAATTAAAGTATTAGTGGTTTTGTGTATGTTCTATTGTCAACAGTCCACATACGCAGCAGAACTTGCCATTACAAAATAGGAATGTGCGCCGATTAATTTTCACTTTGTGGCTGTTGCAAGATTTCATTAGAAAATGGTATTCGTAAACGTAGCCCGTATCTGGAGACACGGCAGTATCTCAGCGCTAAACAAGCGCAGCACTCTTAGAAACGTACTATTATTAGACCATTCTATGGTAAGAGGAGGAATTAAAGGGGCAGTAAAAACGAACTGCAGTGGACGAAGTTTAATTGCACTATCGCACGAAACCCCAATTATCATGTAAGCCCCAATGGTAAAAGAATAATGATAATTTTCATGATAGATTTTTTTCATTCATCATGCTTAAATCTTTAATCTTGTAATCCTACAATACTATCTTATATACTAAGGTGGAAGATTCTCGTATAAAACTAAACGCGCAAATATACTCCGAATTTTTGACCTAGTTAAATAACGTGTACGTCAATAATTACAAATAACCGTTCGTTTTTGTTAATATATATGTAACTATACAATGCAAAATATCTTATCTCTCCTCTGTCTTTACTGTCGCACCCACTCATCACGATCTTGAGTGACGCATCACTGTAACACAACTGACAACCGAACGAAATCCGCAAAAAAATTAACTATAAAACGAACAACACGTTCATCTCTCAATACCCTCGGTGAGTCCGTTCTCTGTACATTTATCTGGCGATCGTCGGCGACGGGATGCTCCTCGGCGACGATATTGCGCTTTCAGGCTCGTGCGACGTTGGTGAAGGTAAGGTGGGATTGCAGACTATCTGTTCGCAGTCGTTACTACCGTCAGTCCCATACGTCATCGACGATTGATCGTTGTAACCTTCAATCTCAGGCTTAATCTCCACTGTTGTCGCATCGGAATTCTGCGTCGTCGTTATCGCATTCGTCGCCGAGTTAAACCGAAATTTACACGAAGACAATAGATGCCTACGGAGATTCCTCGCCTGACGTAAGGTTGCGCCGCAAAGTGGACAAACGCCCGGGCAGTCGGAGGCACCACGCGCCTTACTGGCCGATGCTGCCGTAGCCGCCAAGCCGGATAATGCCATACCAGGAAAGCCCATGTTGAGGGAACCGTGGAACTGCGGTATGTGCAATTGCAATGGCATCATCGTATGCAAGTGCGATTCTTCGTCCGCAACATGATCGTGATGCGCCGCCTGATGATTGTCCGCGACAGATGATTCTTGAAGTCGCGGTGAATGACTGCCACCCTGATGGTTGTTCGCGTAGTTTCCGACCAGGCAGTTACCCGCTGTTAACAGACACAAACACAATGTTACCATACAGGGCTGAACTGACGTTGTTTTGGGTTAGTTTGAATTTGTTTCCCCTCTCACGCTCTCTCTCTCTCCCTTTCGCTCTCGCTCTCTCGCTCTCGCTCTCACGGTTCAGACGAATCGGAGGACGACCAATCAGAGATGCAGTTCAACCCGATCGATGGTTGTGCTTGTGTCCGTTTTAATTGAAACGAAAAAAAGGCCTACGTAGATGTACGAAATCTCCCGCAGGTGATATAATTTTTAGTATAATTTTTAGACGGCTGCTATGCTAAACGTAATACACCGGACACAAAACACAAGTGAAATTGTCATTTCATTATATTATTTCTGTTTTGCATGCTTAATTAGAAGCTTGTAGTTATCGGAATTAATTAAAAAATTGTAGTAAGCATAAAAATCTTTAAGTAACAAAATAAAGAAAATCCATCTGACAAATCACATTACATAAAAAATAAATAAGTGTCTTCGTCATTAGTACTTTACTACAAAACATATCAAAACAATTATATACAAAATCTGTTACATAGCTAATCTTGTTTCTCATTTAAAAAATAAATTATTTAGTTTAGCTTCTCCTTTAGTTTAGGAGAAATAAAATCTTTATAAAATTCTTTACATTACCTGCATCATCAGTTTGATCCATTGCTTCGTCATCCTTGTTTTCGTAAGGCATTGTTCTGTTGTTGTCGTCCAAAGGCCTGCTTTCGCTGTCAGCAGTATTTCTAGTACACTGCCACTTTCCAGAGGATGACGATGACTTCCTCCTCTTTTTTCTTCGTTTCAATGGATGCGAGTTGACTGTTGTCCTCGACACTCCATCGTTTGTCACTGTTGGTATCGCAGACTCAGGAACTTTTTCTCCACTCTAAATATAATATCATGTATTGCATTTAAATTAATCACTCTATTTTAATCATTTAAATATAATTAAAACGAGATGCTTCAGAAATATACCTCCGTTAGTATATTAGTTGACGACGTCAATCCGTGAATGCTCAGACAATGGGCAGCCTGAAGCAAGGAAGGCAATTGTGCCGGCTCGACGCTCACTTCTCCTCGATATACGAATTCCAGCAAAGACTCTAAGTCATCTGCTCCGATTCCTGCTAGCATAACCACTGGATGTTGGCATGGTGTGCTCTATAAACAATGCACTTTGTTGTAAGTTTCTACAAATTTTCATATTACACGCTAAAGTAATACTTAATAATAAATTCAATCGCTCACACTACAAAGAATAAATATATATTAAAAGCTGTATATAAAATAAATGCATAATATAATCAACTTTGACAATAAAATAATACATACATATTCTATTGGTTAAATGTGACAATATCATTATTAAATAATTAATCGTTTAAAATATTTATATAGCTTTACGTTTAACTTTGCTAATTTCACAACTTTTAGTATGCACTTAAAGAGTAAAAATTGAGCCACACTTTTTCAAGATTGGCTCAATTTTCACTATTTAGAGTGAGATTCCACTTCAAAGAATTGAGAGAGTGTACTTAAGACAGTCTTAAATGTAAGAATTTTATCTTGTAGTTAAGACAGTCTTAAATAAGAATTGACTATAAGTACCAGTCTTAAAAGTCTTAGTCGAAAAGAAGACACAACCTTTAACAAATCCAACAGGAACGGGCTAGCTGCACAAAGAACAATTTTGTGTGCAGGAAAGCTGCGTCCGCCGGCAGCTAAAGTAACATCCACCAAATCACCATCTCCCCTCAACAGCTGCACTGCAGAGGCCAGAGAAGAACTGAACTCTCCCCAGGACAGACTGTAGAGTTGGCCACTGCTACCCATTTTGTCTCTAAAAGCTTAACTGCAAGATAATAAGACGCATAAATCCACTCCATTTCTCATCAAGCAAATCTACAAAGTCAGATTCTTATAAAAATAAATTAATTCAACGGCTGTAAATTAATTCAACAAAAAAACATGCAGAACCATCTTGAACAGAAAAATATGTTTACTGATGGTGCTTCCCAACAAGAGACACATTTTTGACTGCAGTAGGTTTGAACTAACCTGAATTAATAATGTTACATGCTCTACATACAATATTATTAGTTCAATTCAGATCAATTCAAATCCTACAATCGAAAATACTAACAGATGACACAGTAGGTGTTTTCTTATAACTATACTAGATCTTTTTTTTTTTTCGTTTTCGCCAAGACTGCAATTTGAAATGCTGTAAGCTTCTGTCCTTATTCCATTCCATTCTGTCCTTATCGTTTATTACATGTGGAAAAAAAATAGAATGAAGCTTACAGTGTGTGAACATTCAAACTAAACACAGCCCAAAGTTCAAATATCAAACATATACCTAATTCACTCTAAGTTCCAAAAGTATATCGAATCATAACGACTGCTCTCCTTTTAGGAGATACAGTCGACACAAGTGTTGTTTTATTTTTCTTATTTATTTAAAAATGTCAAACACGAAAATGACGTTTGTGTCAAATCATGCTCTGAATATGAAATATCAGGTCATTACAAAAAAAAGAAATAAATCATTACGTCATTATTGTTTACATTACATCAATGTTAAGATGAAATGATTCACAGTACTAAGTCTGTTTTCTGTGGCTGAACTAGTATAGTTTTGGAACTTGCGAAATAAAGAAAAGTTGATATTTGGAGAAAGCAAGAAAGAAAATTCTAGTACAGGAATAAAAAAAAAACAGACCTACAGTGTCAGCTGTGTTTCTTACTGGAAAACATCTTGGATTGTTAGGATTATTCTATGGACTATTCTATAACAAAGTTAAGACAGTTGACGACAGGTACATAGTAGATGAAAAAATCGTGGATGGCAAAGTCCTACCATGAAAAAACAACCCAGGAAACCGGCTTTATCTCAGAGATCAGACGTAAGGAACGCGTGCAGCGAACAATCCTGACGCTGACTAACGGTAACGACGCGCACGATCTTTCTCTTTTGCTCTCTTTCTCTCTCTCTCTCTCTCTCTCTCTCTCTCTCTCTCTCTCTCTCTCTCTCTCTCTTTCTCTCTCTCTCCCCTTTCTCTCCTTTCTTTCTCTTTCTCCCGTTTCCTAATTAGTGCCCCCACCCGATTAAGCGTCGCGGCGTCGTACCGTAAGTTAACCTAACAAAAATAGAATTTCACTACCTGCGTGACGACGGAGACCTCCTCTCACGACGTCGTCGGCGACAAGGATGGGGAGTCGACGTGGCGAGTCGCACCTGTTTATTTCCCGGAGCCGGGTGATCGCGCGCCACCGCAACCAGGTCTGGAGAAAGTCGTGTCCGCGCGGTGGTCACCTGGGCATGAAGTCACGACACGAACCCTCGCGCGTTGTCAGACGACGCGGACGTCCTCAGAACACGCGTGTCGCACGCATCGGAAACTGTGTGATACACGGCACACCTCTGACGATGATCGGTCGTCGACGTCGTGGTCCGTTGGCGAGTTTCAGCGCGGCACGCGGTACTCTCTCGCAAGCGAAATTCAAACCCTATCGTAGGGACGATCACATACGCGACATGCGTGTGTACATTTATGTGGTGCACAGTGCATAATGCGATACGTCACGCGTCACGACGCGTTGCGCGATGCAGCTCATGCAGCGTCGCGGTGCCGCCGTCATGCGGCCAACGAGCGAAGTGCGAGTGCGGCCGGAAGTCTGTAAAAGAGCGCGAATCAGAATTCAAATTTAATTTAAAGTTTAAATAAATAATTAATTTAACAGTAAATAGGCTCACGCGATATAAATGATAAGTACAAAAATAATGTAAGCTTTTTGGAGTCAATTCAAGATCTTATTGATGTATCGATGTTAATATATTTGAGCGATGTTTTAATAAATTTTGTATTAAGACTAATTATACATGTGATATATATTAACATTGCTCAATTAGATCTCGAGTTGGCTGCAAAAGGCTTATGTTATTTTTTTATTTTTAATTCACCGAGAGGGACGATTTCGAACTTAACTTATCAAATATTTTAAGCGGCATCTACATTGGGGCTTTTTATTTGGTAACGCGAGGGTTGTTCTATCTTTGTTACTTTCTGAATACCAAGAAAGATAGAATGATATTTGTATCGATTTGCGTTTAGCTGGCGATTCACTAAATGGAAAGTATCCAACAAGATTTTAAAGCATAAAAAATTAACCAATTAATTACTTATCCAGCAAAAGAAAATGGATTTAAATGGATTGGAAATTTTCAATCCATCCGAATCCGTATTTTAAATCGATAAAAATGGATTGGATTCCATATAAAAAATTTTATAACACGTTAACTGTATAAACATATTAATATGAAATATAAAATATTAATATGAAATAATATGAAATATAAAATGAAACATAAAATTGATTAATTTATTAATTAAAAATAAGTCATTTATGTAACATTTATTGTACATATTTAGTTCTTTTTATGTTTCTTTTAACTATTAAATGAAGTAGAATTCATGATATATTTTTGCAGCACAATTTTTTTTTAACTCAGTTGAATTAAAATAAAAAATTTCTCACTCATAATTCTGAAGTTTTCATCATGCATTTTTAAATGAAACAATGGATTTTTTACTCATAATTTTGAATTGAATAGCATTCATGATCCATTTTAAAAGAAAAACTTTTTTTATTCATTTGGATTAAAAAAACTGTATATCCTATTCAAAATTTGAAATTTAACAGTATTCACGATGCACATATTTTTTTATATATAAAATACTATAATATTATTTTTAGATTTTAGAAAAGCATAGAAATATAATACTCCATGTCATTCTTATAAATGAATAAAAATGTATCGAAGATTGAAAAGAGAGGAATAGACATTTGTTTCATACAATTCTTATAAATGAATAAAAATATATTCAAGATTGGAAAGGATTCATTTTAACATTCATGAATCCGTATTTCTGAAAATCTGAGTACATTTTAATCTCGTTTGCTGAACGGTACATCCATTCTCAGACTCTTTCTTGATCACACTCTCTTGTGTTCTGTTCCTCGAATCCTCGGAGGGAAAGGACGAAAAAAATATAAATATGTAAAATACATGACTCGTGAAAGCGATCGCTGACGGCTGAAGTTGAAACAACGTAATCGCGCCATCGCGCTGTTTGCTCGCTGATGGCTCAGGTGGCTGGTGCGCGTGGCAATTGTGCGAGTGCGCATGCGCTACCACGTACCACCGTTGTGACTCGCGATTGACAACACTTCGCCAACGGGACTGACTGACGCTCAGTATTGTACCTTGGCCTCCGATTTCGCTGTCCTCCAGCCAACTTCAGTGCCTTCCGAACAGCGTATCTCGTATCGTCTCTCTCACTCTTCCATTCTCTCATTCTCCCTTGCCTTTTTTTCCTCTGTTTCGTTCGGTGCGTACGTACACGTTGCGTGTGAACGTATGTGTGTGTTTTGTCGTTGACGCGTTTACGTTTTCATCGCGATGTCGTCCGGTAGCTGGGAACTGGTCCGCAGGAAGAAGGACAGAGGCAACGATAAATCGAACAAGCTCACGAAGGCTGAGAAGAAGAAATTTATTGAGAACGCGCCGAAAGTCGAAGACTTCTGTGAGTCGTTTCTGTTATAATCTACTCATCTTCCACCTCAGAAGCCTCGTACCTTCTGCTCCAATTCTCCGTGACTTTGATGATTTGCTGTTGACAAGCAATCGACTATCAGCTGAGAGAATGCGATGAACGATGCGAGCCGGGTGTATCTGATCTGCTTCAATCGCGCGTGAAATGTATAAAGAAAGGGTCGCAATATGATACTATCGTGTGTACTTTCTGCGACACTCATTCTGCGGTTACTCCTTTTTGTCACAGAATTTTTGATAGAGAAATACACGTCATGGTTAAGTCTTTTGGATTTGTTTTGCATGATAATTCCAAAAGATAATTCATTTGAAACTTAACTTAGAACTGTCTTGTTCTTTAAGATATTCATTTTGCAATTATTCCTTTTTGCCATAGAAATATTTGACTTGATAATTTATCTCAAATTTAATTTGGAGCTTTGCACTTTGCAATACTCATTCTGTTGCACCTTTTTATTATAAAATTATATAGAAATATTTGTGATATGATAAATAATCGTTTTGTGTGTTATAAAATACTCCAAAGGATAATATTTACTTCAAACTTAGAGGTTATTATTTTGCGAACAAGTTTCTTCTTAATCTTTCTTTTTACTCAATATTTTACTCTTATCAAGGAAATTGTATATCTAACTTAATATAAATATAATAAATATAATTTTAATATAAATATAATAAATATAATTTTAGTGCCTTTGAGTCAAGTGAAGACACTGTACGATAACCTAGATGGAAACAAAGAGAATAAGAAACCTGCCAAAGCGCAAGGAAAAGAACACAAGACAAAGGAGAATGAGGAGAAAAAAAAGCAACATCAAAAACAACAGCATGTTGAAAAGAAAAAATCTGAGCCAAAGGAGAAACCTCCAAAAACTGTTAAGGATGCATTGAATGCGGTAAAACTGTTTTTAACTTAGAAAATTTGGAATCATATTTGCTATTAATTTTTTTATTGCATATATTTTTATACACATCATATTCATTTAGAAAAAATATAAACTAATTTCATTCTATTTCAAATTGCTTGAATTATATGTTAGTAATTAATTCCTTATAATGCACACAGATTGATCCACAAGAACTTGATGAACTTCTGGCCACTGCACAAGTCAGATTTCCCGATGCTCCCCTGCTCTGGTTGAAGGAACTCAATGCCTTCCTCAACATTAAGATACCCATCAACAAGGAAGATGCGATTTTCTCAGGAAAACCCAAGGATTACCCGTTAAGTTTAGTACCTAAGACGATCTCTTCCATATTAGAACGAGCAGTGGAGATGACGGGCCAGCAAACCATACAAATTTTTTATGAGAACACTCTCACGACAATGGCCACTGACATGGTCAAGGGAATTCCCGTTATCGGACATAAGATATTTTTGCAGTTGCTAGCGCACTTAAATCCCGAAATGACCGCCGCCAATATTCTCAAACTGATTAACATAAGGAATTCCTACGAAAACAGAAAGAATATTGGCTTGTCTCTGTTATGGGCCTGGTCGCAGGCCGGTAAGAAGAATTTTGCGGTCGGCTTGAAAATTTGGCATGAAGTAATGTCGCCAATGTTGGAGACGAAGAGCTACGCTAGTTACGTTGTACAAATTCTCAACGATCTCGTCTTCGGACACGACAACGTCCATGATCTTAGTCTGGATCTATACCTGAGTATCATCATGGATACCTATTCTCAAAGATTTCAAAACATTCAACCCGCGAATCTGGGAAAAGACCTTAGCGCGAGTATCGACAGATTGAGAGTAAGTAATGCAAGCACAAATTTGAAGCTTATATCGTGCATTTTAGTTAACTTTAGGCATATATTTATTTTTTATACATTATTATTATTATTATTATTATTATTATTATTATCACACAGAGATTTATGAGATTCCATTAGTCTTTTCATTATAATATTTTTAAAATTGATTAATTTTTTTTTAATCGTAAATGAATTAAAAAATACATTTATTAATTTAAAAATAATCCAAAATCATAATAAATACTTAAAAACATGATTTCTCTATTTACTAATAATAAAATTTTTGAAGAATTTCACTGAGTCTCAAAAACCCTAGAATATACCAAATCTACAAACTCGCGAGCTAATATATCTAAGGTTTTATAAAAATGTAATGCATGTACGATTTGGCGATGCGATTTGATGTCGGCAGTGAGATCAATATGGTAAAATTTTTTGCAGTCAATATTGTTTAGAAACAAGGATATATGTTACACGAAATTGTTTGAAATGTTAATGGGAAAAGTATCGCAGAAGTTAGATTTGAACTATAGGAATGAGTTGATTAAGGTTCTTGCGGATTGTCTCGTCACGGAACCTGTTTGTTTCACTATTTGGAATTCCATTTATACCAAGAATTTATACCAATCCAGTCTTCTTCTGTCATATATTGGTGAGCATTTCGCGCTTTTCTCACATCTTTCAGTATGTTGTACATTTACGCAAAATATTCGAGAAAAAAATGCAAAAATTCGCTTTCTTACAGAAACAAATTTACCTAGTTTACAAACCAAATTCAAAGCTAAGCATTTCAAAGAAACCCTCGGAATTATTCAAAACAATAATGAAAAATGGAAAAAAGCCAAAGACGAAAACCTGGCGCTTACATGCAAGAAAACATCTCAGGTGAGTTCTCTCTCTCTCTCTCTCTCTCTCTCTCTCTTGTACAATATATTTTTATAATTTTTTCAGAATGCATAAGTAAAGTAATTTAAGAAACTAAAATTCGTTTCAAAATATATTATAAATTTATAATATATTTTATCTAATATATATTATAATATATATTATATAATATATATTATATCTAAACTATTAAAGGATATGATCGCATAAAAAAAATATTAGGTGTTGGAATTAATTCGTAGCGTTTTACAAGTGATGGGAAGTACTTTCATTAATGTATTTTTTAATGCTCATGTGAAATAAATAACATTCTTTCATTAAAAAACGCTACGAATTAATTCCAACACCTAATAAATTAAAATAAAAGCTTTTTGAAATGTACATAATAGATATTCCGATTAAAAATAACA